CAGCAGGGTGCACCTGCCTGGTTCCTCTGTGCCCACTGGTTGCTTCCTCCCAAAGCTCCTGGCTGGGTGCTGGCTGGGGCACACATGCCTCTGCCACCAGTGGCATGGGAGTACAGACCCCATGAGAGAGCATGGTGCTCACAGCATGATGGGAGCAGTCTGCATCCAGCAACACGCATGCTGGAGGACAATGTGGGGTGGGGAAGGGGGACAGGGCAGTTACTGGGTTCTGTCTCCTGCTGGCCTGGACCAGTTTCTGGAGGGGGCTGCAGGGGCCTCCACTGGTGCTGATGGGCAGCAGGTGGAGACCCCAGCCCCTGAACGCACCCACCCAGCAGTGCGGCTGTTCTGCATGCAGGGTCACAGAATCACAGAAACACTAGGTTGGAAAGGACCTTCAAGATCATCAAGTCCAACCATTAATCCAGCGCCACCATGTCCCCTAGACCATGTCCTGAAGCGCCACATCCACACATTTCTTGAACACTTCCAGAGATGGCGACTCCACCACCTCCCTGGGCAGCCTGTTCCAATACCTGACCACCCTCTCAGTGAAGAAATTTTTCCTAATATCCAATCTAAACTTCCCCTGGCGCAACTTGAGGCCATTTCCTCTTGTCCTATCACTAGTTACTTGGGAGAAGAGGCCAACACCCTCGTCGCCACAACCCCCTTTCAGGTAGTTGTAGAGAGCGATAAGGTCTCCTCTCAGCCTCCTCTTCTCCAGACTAAACAACCCCAGTTCCCTCAGCCGCTCCTCATAAGACTTGTGCTCCAGACCCCTCACCAGCTTCGTTGCCCTTCTCTGGACACGCTCCAGCACCTCAATGTCCTTCTTGTAGTGAGGGGCCCAAAACTGAACACAGTATTCAAGGTGCGGCCTCACCAGTGCCGAGTACTAAGGGTCACAGTCACCCCTCTCCTGCTGTGGGCCCACGGACTCGGCTCACAGGGTAGATGACAGCTGGTGCTGGCTCGTGGTGCTGGCTCATGGCCCTCCATGGAAACAGTCAGGGCAGCCATGGTGCCTTTTCCTACCCTTTGCCTCTGGAGCATCCCTGCTGCCCAGCTTTCCAAGGGGCTGTCTGTCTTCCTGGGCAGCGGCTTGACCTGCTCGCTCTCCCAGAAGTCCTGCCCTCTGCTCTGAGAGCACTGGGGTCAGTTTAATGAGTTAATGCTGGCAAAGCAGTTCTGGAGGGATAAGTGCTGTGTAAGCACTAAGGCTCCCAAGCCTCTCTGTGTTCAGCTCACAAGCCCTGCACAGCCCGGCTCTGCTGCCCTACAGCACGGATAATCACGCAGAGCACAAAGTGCTGGCTCAGACCACCCCCTTGTTGCATGGCCAGGGGGGAGAGGGGACTGCGAGGGGACAGTGTGAAGCCTGGTGGAGACTCAAGCAGCTAAAGGGGGTGGTGAGGGCAGGGGCAGCCCCTGGGCTGCGCCCCTGCACCTCACTCAGGCAGGGCCCTCAGGAGGAAGCCCTGGCCTGAGGAGCTGCCCCTTCTCTCTGTGACGGGTGCTTGCAGGGGCGACGTGGAGCAGGATGGTAGTGTGGGCACTGCTGGGGCCACTTCGGCAGCACCCCTCATGATGCTATGAGCCCTGGTGCCTGCGAGCCTGCTGGCAACAAGCTGGGCAAGCCCAGACAGAGGCCCGTCCTGCAGAACCTGAGCTGCCCGGTTCGTGCCAGGGGCCTGGGCAGTGGCTGTCGGGGCAGTGCTGAGGATCCGGCAGCCTCGGCATCTTCTCCGCCAGGGGCTCACATCACAGAGGGGCACAAACCAGCCTCTGTCAGTGCCCAGGGCCACAGGGCCTGTGCTGGGCTCCGGCCCTGGCGCAAGACCCTGCTGGGCAGGGCTGGAGCTGACAAAGGCCATCTAGGGGAGCTTGGCACCGGTGAAAGCTTCATAATGCAGACTGGGGGGGCTGCCCTGACATGACAAACCCCTCGGACCCCATTTGAACACATGCCCCTCACAGGGCCAAGCACTGCCGTGGTGCTGGGGAGGCCCAGGGACGTGGTGCATGGCTGTGCATGCAGGACATGGGGACATGTGCTTGCAGTGGGAGGAGGAAGGCTGCCTGCTCAGCCTGGAGCCTATGTGTCCGAGCGACCCGCTGCCTCTCTGCCTGTGCTGGCAGGCAGCTGGGGCTCAGTGTGCGGGAGACCTGCATCCTCCCCGTCCCGCTGTCTCCTCCCAGCTGTGGGCTCACAAGGAGTGGCAGCTGGTGGGATATATAAAGGCAGGGGAACCTCAGCCAGCTCAAAAGAAACTCCTGGAGCTAGTGGTGTTCTCCCTCCCTCCCTTCACGTGATTCAGCTTCCCCACACCAGGGTAGCCGAGGACAAGCCTCACTGTAAGTACCCGAACTGAGCCGGCATTGTGTAGGCAAACCCCGGGGTCCGTGCACAGCCTCAGGGAAGGATGGCGGCTCTGGGCCCTGGGCAGGAACGTCCCCCGTCCTCTCCCTTGCAGAGAACTGGGGGAAAATGCTGTGGGGGGAGCCCTGGACCATCCCCACAGTTGCTGCTGGATGGACAGGCTCCAGCTCCCTTCTCAGCCCAGCGTGGGGGCAGGCAGCACGTCTCCATGGGGGAGGGGTCAGCCAAGGCTGCCCTGCCGAGGGGGAGGGCTGTGGGGCAGCCCCACAGGAGAGGGCTTCCTTCTCTGTTGGGTGCTGGGGTTCCTCACTGCAGCAGCACATGCTGGGCTCATGCCTCACTGTCCAGTTTGGGGTGTGTTCAGGGCTGGGTGGAACGCTGCTGGGGCCGGCAGGAGACGACTGGAGCGAGTGTTCCCAGGGGATGTGAGCCCCTATGGGCCTTGTGGGGTCTGTGCTGGGGGCTTGTGTGCAGCACCCTAAGGTGGGGGCTGTACCACTCGTAGGAGTTCAGGCAATGGGGACCAGGGCAGAACTGGGGGGGCTCTGGAGGGAGCAGCGGTGTTCCTCAGGGCCATCTCCTGCCCCGGGGCTACGAGCAGGTTGGGCAGCAGCCACCTCCCTCGCAGGGTGGCTGGGTGTCCCCTGGGTGCCCCACTGGGTCAGGCTGTGCTGACCCTGCTCTCTGCCTCCAGGTGCGAGATGGCTGCCGGCAGCTGCCTCCTCCTCCTCTTGCCCTGGCTGGTCACGGCCTTGCACAGCCCACCCGGCTGCAAGATCCGGATTACCTCCAAGGGGCTGGACCTGGGTAAGGGGCTGGACCGGGGTAAGGGGCTGGGTGGGACACTGCTCCCAGGGCCTGGGTAAGAGGTTGGGACACTGCTCCTCGGGTCTGCACCTGGGTAAGGCTCTGCCTGCAGTGCCTGCATGTGGGACAGCTGGAGAGGAACTGGGGGACGGCTGGGAGGCAATGCTGCTGGGAGGGCAGCACAGCCTGGCTGTGGCCAGCCCAGGCTTGCTTTGGTTTGCAGTGAAGCAGGAGGGGCTGCGCTTTGTGGAGCAGGAGCTGCAGAACATCACGGTGTCAGACCTGCATGGGAAGGAGGGGCACTTCCACTACAACATCAGCCAGTGAGTGCTGCCCACTCCCCGTGCACGCGGCTCCTCACATCCATCTGTCTGTCTGACCATCTCTGTCCCCTCCCCTGCAGGGTCAAGGTGATGGATCTGCAGCTGGCACTTTCCAACCTGCACTTCCAGCCTCAGCAGCACCTCGTCTTCACCATCAACAACGCCTCCATCAGCCTGCGCTTCCGGAGACAGCTACTTTACTGGTTCTTGTGAGCTACCTCCCCTTCCCGCTCCCCTGGGCACCAGCCTACCTCATGGCTGGGCCACCGCCACTGCTCCCCCCCCCGCCCCCGGGGCGGGCCCCCAGCCACTGCTTGGCTGTGCCCACTGGGTGCCCTGGGTGCCTTGCTGCCCTGCCCTGCAGCTGGTAGGAGCAGTGTGCTCCTCTCATCGGCTCTCCTCGCTTCCAGCTATGACATTGGATCCATCAATGCCTCTGCGGATGGTGTCCACATCAACACAGTGCTGCAGCTGGCCAAGGACGAGGCTGGGCGCCTGAAGATCTCTAACATCACCTGTAATGCCTCCATTGCTAGAATGCATGCAGGCTTCTCTGGCACACTCAGGTACACCCAACCCCACCGCAGCAGCCCTGTCCCTCCAACGGGCCAGTTCCGCCTGTGCCTGTCTCCCTGGCCCCCTTTTCTGCACCCTCGGGACTTCCCCAGCCCAGGCTGTGTGCTTGCTCGGGGATGGAAGGGCAGGGCTGGAGCCACAGGGGAAGGCAGGCAGCCACGGAGCTGCTCTTGTGTCCTGCAGGAAGGTCTATGAGTTCCTGAGCACCTTCATAGTCACAGGGATGCGCTTCCTCCTCAGCCAACAGGTACGGCTGAGTGGACACAGGCAATGGAGCCTGGCCTTGCCCTGCCCCACAGCAGGACAAGGGTCTGCGTCCTCATCTGCACCTGGAGCGATTCCCCTCTTAGACCAGCCCCTTGCCTTTCAGATCTGCCCATCCCTGGAGCATGCCAGCCTGGTGCTGCTGAACTCTGTGCTGGACACAGTGCCGGGTGAGTGTTGCCCTGGGGGAAGGGACCAGACCCTGCTCACTGTGGGGAGGGCAGAGCTGGGTGTCAGGCTGCCGGGCAGCCCGCAGGCTTGGTCACAACAGCACATCTTCCCTGGCAGTGCGGAACTATGTAGATGAGCACATCGGCATTGACTACTCCCTCCTGCGGGATCCAGCCGTCTCCACAGACACCCTTGACCTAGACTTCAAGGTGAACACTGGATCCTGCCCTGCCGACCCTCCCGCTGTCCCTGTGGGAGCAGCTGTGTTAGCATGCATACTGGGCACCACTATGGCTGCAGAAATGTCTCCTGTTCTTGGCCCAGGGCATGTTCTTCCCCCGTGCAAGAGAGAACCAGGAGCTGGAGAACCACGCGGTGGAGCCGGTGATCAAGGAGACGGAGCGCATGGTCTATGTCGCCTTCTCAGAGTACTTCTTTGACTCGGCCATGCACGCATACTTCCAGGCAGGTGTGCTGGCCATAGAGCTCCAAGGGGAGAAGGTAAGCAGTGCCGGGTCTCCTGGCTATGCACAGGCAGCTCTATGCAGGCAGGGGCCTGCTGCCAGGCAGGAGGGAGGGCTGGGCTCTACCGGCAGACCGGATGAGATGCCATCCAGGGACCACCTCCACTGGGATCAACAGCAACTGCTCGCTTACCCTCCAGTGGTTTGCCCTTCCTGCAGGTGCCCAAGGACCTGGAGGTTTTGCTGAGAGCCACCTTCTTTGGGACCATCTTCATGCTGGTGAGAGGAGCACCCAGACAGGGCGGGAGGCACAGGGGAGCCGCTGGGGCAGAGCACAGCCCTGCCCACCTCTGTGCCTCCGGCTCACCTGCCCTCTCCAGAGCCCCACCGTGGATGCTCCCCTGCAGCTGGTGCTGCAGGTGTCGGCTCCCCCCCGCTGCATCATCAAACCCTCGGGCACCTCCGTCTCCGTCTCTGCCTTCCTCAACATCTCGCTGGTACCCCCGGGCCGCCCTGCTGTCCAGCTTTCCAGCATGGCCATGGTGAGTGCGGGGCTGGCCGGGAGGGGCACGCGTGGCCAGGGCTCCCTGTGCGGCCACCCTGGTGCACAGGGGGAGAGCGTTTCCCCCATA